TTCTTCCAAATACAAATGAAGTGCCTCAAAGTGGACATCATTCCGTACACAGACAGGAAGCTTCATATTCATGTACGCAATCACAACATTCTAATTATTCCACATCAAATCAATCATCTTCACTTTCAAAAACGGTATCTCTAAAACATAGATTATTGAATGAAAATACCGATATAAAGAATGATAAAAAATTAGAAGATAAAGATATTGATTTGGTTAATAAGACTGAAAAAAGAGATAAAAAACGGGAGCGATGTGTTGAAAGTAAACACAAGTCGCATGATGTTAAGAAAAAGAAAAAAGATCAAAAGGTATTAGATAAACAATTAGGATATATTAATTCGGATGTAGTGCCTATACAGCAACAGCAGCAACCATCACTTACAAAAGAAGAACAAGAACAGAGACAAAATGAAGAAACAATTGCTGCTACTAATTATTTAAGTCAAATTTTTAACGACGACGCATCTTCAAGAGGAATATCTGATAAACGAAAAGACGCTGGACTTATTTTAGATGATTTAGTAAGTAATGCGGTACAACCGTCAGAACAAGAAAAAGATGTTCAAATGGTGATGAGATCGTTAAAAGAATTACAAGAATTACAAGAAATGAAATACTCACCGAGTAATTCACCAATTAATAGTAATATACAAAAATCTAACAAATCGAATACACAATGTGCTACTTATCAAGATGAATATTCACGCTTATATTTAAAAAAAGACGTTAAACTTAAATCTAAAGAAGAATCACAATGGTAATATTATCAGATAGTGTACACTATAGACGTAAATTATGTTAAACAGGATGAAAATGCCAGTGAACAGATAATAATTTCATAGAGACCTATAGGCGGATTTTTCAGTAGATCTGTATTATTTTTGATGATAAATTAGTGTGAAATTGATCAGAACTTCTTCCATTAGTCGCGATATTATGGACGACCAAAATCATATGCAACTAATATAGCGTGCCGCGATCACATTGTATCGCACCAATTTTTAAATATTTTAACAAACCGCCAAATTGTGTAAATATATTCATTCGTAGTAATTTGAAAATGCGCATGTACAAAGTAAGCGTAAATTATGGAAGTATGTTAATCGTATAAACACTTGTAAATAAGTTAACGTCCATTCATCGCTGTGAATGGGGTGGTCTGAAATTTTTTTATTATAAGCATATTGCTGTTTGACGATTTTAATATAAGTCTATCAACAATAATTAAAAGTCTTTGATATGTGATAGATCGCATATTAATGTTTTATAAAAGAAATTTAGTTGTGAAGTGTTTTTCTTAATTTTGCATACTGCCAGAATATAAGAAGTGGAATAAAAAATTTATTTTTTCACAATATCATCTAATATATAATAAATATTTAACCACCCTAAATCACAGAGCGATAAAGAATGTTTTGAACGGTGTTCCTTTTGCGCACGAACGGCTATTATGATTTTATGACATCATAATAAAAAACATGGTAATGTGTGTGTGTATATTTTTTGATATGTATTCGGAAAATCTTTGCCTTCCAAATTGTTAATTAATTTATGACTTATAAGCAAATTATCTCATTTGCTTGTTAAATAAAATGGCAGATATTACGGAAAATTACTGTAGATTTCGCGCAGTTTATAAAAAGAAAAAAAAATAGTCAAACATGTGTTTAATATTTAATTGTCTATTTTTAGAAGCCTTAGCTAGAACAATTATTAAATTGCGTTTACAAATTATAAACTTGTATAATTGGTATGTAACTTCATTAAACTTGTTGATTTTAATAATCAGAATGTACGAGCGAATGTGCGTGAAAGTACTGTTTTAGAAAGAGCTACGATATTTTTGGAACACGAAAATGATTAGTGATTGTATTATATACCACACCTTTTTCCCCTCTAATCTTACCCATATGATACTTAGAATATGATTAAGCGTCTTGTATAATTCTTCATTCGAGAATTTCCACAAAGACGACTTAAAATATAAGTTTTGAATATTTTTTACATTATCGATATATTTCTTACCTTACCTATGTCCGATAAGTATATTGTAGATGTGCCTCCAACAACATTTAAAAGTTGTAAATATTATGTGATATACGTACGAATAATTTATTTCAAGCTTTTTTTGTATTATTTGTAAGTTTTAACATATTAAAGGAATTCTAAAATAATGAGTGTTTTAAACAGAATAAATAGAAAACAAAAAAAGATGAAACATATTGTTTCTATTCTTAAAAATTTTCAATAAAATGCATTAATTTAATAATGATTTTTATACAATCTTTATAGATTTTGATTCGCTTTGATTGATGGGTTAATTTAATGCGTAAATCTGAAAAAAGGTCATGCATTCATTACATCTACGGATCTTTTCATCTATGCATACAGAATGCATTTAATTCTTTAAAGATTATTTAAAGACATTTACATCTAAATCTATAATTGATTAAACCGACTGAAACAAACAAACTGTCTATTGACATGTTTTTTATTTGATATATTGTGTTTTTCTTCTTTATTCAATATAGTTTTTATGTACCTGATCGAATCACTCTGCAAAATCAAAACAAATAATTTAGATTATTTTTTAGCAGACATCGTACAAAAAAAAAGGTCAATGCAGAGAATGTAATTTTTGATGAGGAGAAGATAAGTAAACAAGGTAACTCCGTTTATAACAGAGGGCAGTTAGGATTTAATGAACATAAGTAAGATGAAAAAAAATACGGCAATCATGATACATCTCGTAAAGAACACAACAACGGACGACATAGTTTAGGAGAATTTGAAGTCGTCGATTATGAAAAAAATTCTTTTAAACAACAAAGTAATGGATATTACAAAAAAAAGGACATCACAGAACCGGTTTCACTAATAAAGACCATAAAGACGAATCAGGAAATAATTTAAGTTTTTATGAGGATAATGATGAAGGAGGATATAGATCGTCCGAGAATAATGGATTATGGGTAAAAATCGAACTTGTTTAGGGATGGTTTCCATGACATATTTTATATTGAAAAAGATAAGGTACAACGCGAAAATAATGACAATAAGAAGGTAAATGTACTAATAAATCATTTTTAACAATTTTTAGCAATTGTAATATGAAAATCAAAAGAACATAATTATTTATCGATATATATATATATAATATATAAAATTAGTATAATAAATTAAAATATTATTTTATTATTTTTGTTAATTTTAATAATTATGATGATCATGTAGAGAATATAATGATGATCGATACAGAGATAGTAAAAGAAATTATTTAAATAGCGAAGAAGGGGCTTATTTTGATAAAAAAATATATTATCTAGTTATTTATCATAATAACGATCATGTGCCTTCATTTGAATATTCAAATTATAATATATATATATATATATA